CTGTATCATAATAAAACTTGAAAATTTTATACAACAGAAAGCGTGAAGGTATTTAAAGAAAAAAAAAGGTAGATCTTGAATGTGTTGTAGCACAAATACAAATTGCTGTACTTCATTAAGCTTCATTGCCAGTTAGCTAGGAATTGTGAAGCACATTGCAGATTGTTTTGGGAGGATTCTGGAGTTGTTAACGTGAGTACCAACAGAAAACCTTAACTGAATCTAAAACTATTTTGAAGATGGTGGTGAGCTGCAAAATAGCTAGATAGATTTGAATGACTGGTATGGCACATTATTGAACTGCACTTTATATAACCAAAGCTTAGCAGTTTGTTAGATAAGAGTCTATGTATGTCTCTGGTTAAGATGAAAAAATTTTATGTTTTTAACATGGTATTTTTGATGGAGCTAATGAAACACTGGACATATCATTGGTTTAAACATGTAAGGGGAATTAAGTCATTGTAGTTTGTCATTTTTTTAAGTAGATCCTCTTGGATGCATTATTTTCTTATCAGCTGGCTCTGATTATGAATTTGTTGCAATTTTATGTCACAGTCAGTGCATTTAAAAAATGGTACAGTATTTTGATCCTATTACTTGATTAAGAGTGTGAAGGTAGTACTCTTCAGAGTGCACTGAGTGCACTTTACATCTTTATTTAAATTTTTTTTTAACATCTTACGTTTACAGGCTTCCTGTTTCATGAAGATAGCAATGGAAAACTCAAAATGGTGGCAGTTCTTATTACCAGATGTTAGTATTGTTTCTGGAAACTGCTTGCCAGGACAACATTTATTAACTGTTAGAACACTCGCTTTATATTTGTGTGTACATATTTTCCACAAATGTCATAATTTATATAGTGTGGTTGAACAGGATGCAATCTTTTGTTGTCTAAAGGTGCTGCAGTTAAAAAAAACTTCTTTCAATATGGCACTTAGTGGAGTTTTTTTTTTCACTTTAAAAAACATTCAAAATTGTTGAAATCATCTACTAGTTTATAATTATCAGCTTATATTTCCCCATGAATGATTAGAACTGACATTTAGTTCATGTTTGTCTCACCATACTTGTTTACTTTAACATATTTCTTTTGCAGAATGTAAAAGAAAGGTAATGAAAATTAGTTTATGGGAGTGTACTGGCTGTAAATGATGCTAAATATATTTTATGCAATTAAGGGCTTACAGAAAATGTTAAAACATTTTTTATTTTTATTGGTAGTAGGAATGTTTGCACCTCCACATTGTATTGCTTCTGGATGTGAAATCATGTAATTATTTCTGCTGTTATATTAAGTGCCATACTTTTAATAAAGCAAAATGTACATATGAAATCATCATAATGGGTATTTCCTGAGAAATAGTTCACTGGAAATCAAACTTAACATCTTAATATTAAGTTTCAATGTGTGTGTTTATTGGAAATATTAGGAAAATATTTTCTTGTATATTTTCATGCTGGAATTTTAGCAGATTTCTAGGATTAATAGAATATAAAGTGCTTGTTATATAGTAGGTTTAGGTGCTCATTAATGTAGTTGAGTTTATGTCACCTTTTTAGAGAATCAGATTAGTTGATATATATGGCCTATATGTGTTTGGAAACAGATACATTAAATATTTTTTTTTCCCTGTAGGTAGAGGCTGACTTGATATTTTCCTTGCCTCAGTGGACAGCTGCGTAGCTAGGAGTAATTCACACTTTAGTACTGACAGATATGAGTTCTTCATCTTTACAGTTGAGGCACAAGTCTTCAAAGTTAGGCAGATGAGGGCTAAGAGTGCTCTCGGTTCTGGAGCTACCTGAATTCTGTATCTTCATCTTTATTTAAAGTACTTGCTACCTCGAAGCTCCAATTCAGCACTTAGATTTTATTGCTTTTGAGTATTAAAATTTACAAAGAAAACCTCGTTTGGCCTTGATGATAGTTGCTCAAGTTGGAGTTTTGTGATTTTTCCAGGCTTAAAAAACACCCACACAGGTTCGTAATCCCATATATGAAACCCTTAATGTGTCTCATAATTTTATTTTAGAAAGTGAATACAAGTATATATAACTTTTTAATGAAGTGCACCCACCAGGGTCAGGCTGTACCTGTAATCAAATGCATTAGTATTTCTGCAGTGAAGTCTATGAGGGTTCACACTAAATTGAATACATAGACCCGATAAATAGCCTTATGTAATTCGAGTCAGCTTTGCCACCAATAGTTTGCAGCAGACTTATATGAAAATTTTCACTTTTTGAAGCATTTTAGATTTTGGAATGGAGGTTAAGGAACTTTGGACCTGAACTATTTTGCTATTCTATGCTTCCCCCACCTTTACCATAGTTTGCTTTCTTTTAAAAAGACAATGGAAGCTGTCTACTGGCATGTGAATCAGCTGCTCCTGAGTAGAGCAGCATGCAGTCTAGGAAACGGATGGAGCGGCATCTGCACTCGAGAGCAGGCTCTCTGCTGCAGAGGCTCCAGGGACAGGGTGTCCCCAGCAGGATGGCTCAATTGTTCATGGTCTCTGTGAGGAAACAAGTGAAAAACTTGCACCACACAATTAGTTAACGGAGCCTAGAGTGCTGAGAGCTCAAAAATGATTTGGGCAAAATCTTAAAATAGTATTTAACAAAATGAAGAGGAGTTGTTCACAGGTCTGATTTTGGGATGAATGGGATTTACTTATTTCATTAGTTCCAGTTGACATTTTTGGTAGTTTAAATGTTTTGTAGATCTCAAGGATGACATTTATAGTGCTGGTAGAAAATAGCAATTATAGAGATATATTTGAAGCGGAATTTAGTATGCAAAGAAGACTGCTAAAGCCAAGTAAGAGGTGATGTTTCAAATCAAAGAAGGGGACACAAAGCTACATAAGCAGACACAACCTGAAAACCATTGTACACAGGATTCTGCCCTTTCAGAAGACCTTCTACCCTCATTCCCTGTTTTCCATAGGAGCAAAGACTTTACCTATTGGGTGACCTGGTGGGGTTGGCGGAGGGGAACCCAACACCACCTGGTGGGGTGGCTTGACTCTTTTAATGTGAATTTGGCTGCCTTCAGAGAAGGCATATGTCCATCCTCCTCATGTAGTGGCTATAGAAGTTGGGAACCTTTAGTTTTGCCTGTGTCTAAGAGTGGTTTGTGTTTTATTCAGCTGTGAAGTATTAGGAAGTCCATTTTGCTACAAACCAGCTATCTTTATTATTAAAGCATAATACTAGTAGAAGATTTTATCTTCATCTTTTTTACTGTATCTACTCAGTTTATAAATTGGGAAAGAAATAAGTGCTATTTTTAGATCCCTAATATAGAAACACTCAATAGTCTATAATCACATAGTATAATAGGAGTATCAGTCTAAATACCCTGTTATGTATGTTTATAATCATGACCTGATGCCTTCAATAAAAATTTAAATTACATTATGTAATATGTTTAAGGAGACAGATTTATGTAATCCATTTTAGAATATAACCCATCTAAAAGCTTTGATTCTAATGAAGGATAAATTTCTTATTCTGGAGAATGCATTTATCCATAACAACTTCTTTCAACATTATTCCATATAGCTAAGGATCAAAAAGAATAAAAGGTTCTGTTCTCCACACTTTCTAATTGACTACTTTTATTTACCTCACTTTATCATCTACGCACTATATTTTGGACATATACTATGAGAACCAAGCTAGTTTATAAATGTTTAGTGATCTTGTGTTTTATCAACTGGGCTTGAAGACATGTTTTGCACAAACAGAACAAAATACCAGGAACCATTTACTAGGACAATAGGAATGTCACAGTAAGAAAACAGTTTACTCAGGACTTAACTAAATGGAAAAGGTAAATACCAATTTCTAAGTAAAAACACCCAACCGCCTGTGAAATTGGAGGAGCATTACACTCAGTTGAGTTTGCTCTTAACTGCTTGGAAAGCACTGTATTTTTATTTTGAAATTTCAAGTGTTTATGCATTCTAGCAATTTAAACATCAGGGAGTTGTTATAAGCAGTCTACGCTGTTAACATATTAGTAAGCATTAGGAATAAAGAGCTGACTTATGTGCTTTCTCTTGATGCTGAGACTATGGAAAGTCAATTTGAACTTGTATTTATAGTTATTAATATGTCATGTCATTAGAAAGATGCAGTGCCACACCTGTTTGGAGATTCTTTTTATAATAAGTAAAACAAAAACACATCCCACCACTTTTTGTGGTAGAGGGCATTTTACAAAGTGAGTGGGTGGTCTACACAAAATGAACCTGTCTTCAGCGGTCAGTGTCCTGTTTGATAGCAACTTATACAGCCAATTGGCACGAAACATTTTCACGAGCTCTGAGTGTCTTATTTCTGTGAAGTTACATCTAGACTTTTGTCTCGTGTAGAGGAAAGAACCACAGACTAGCCCTTTGATCTTGGTAGAGACAAAAACCTCTTCGGGTTTCAGTTTCTTTGTCAAATAAGTATTATTCCATCTGTACAATTATCACACAGACAAGTGTTTTGGACACGGATAACACATGAAACCTTCAAAGTGAAAAGAGCTATGCAAATTTAGGGTTACCTTTTGGTTTCAGTAGTGACCATGTGACCTTGTGACTTGTTCTACTTGAGCCTTTGTCACCAGTAACTTGGGGAAAAATAATATGTACCTCAGAGATTTGTGAAGATGAAAAAAGTAAGACATTTCTTAAAGTGTGAAGTCTGGGGCCGGGCTTGGTGGCTCACGCCTGTAATCCCAGCACTTTGGGAGGCTGAGGCAGGCGTATCACTAGGTCAGGAGTTCACGACCAGCCTGGCCAACATAGTGAAGCCCTGTCTTTACTAAAAATATAAAAATTAGCCGGGCATGGTGGTGCGTGCCAGTAGTATCTGAGGCAGAATCACTTGAATGCGGGAGGCGGAGGTTGTGGTGAACCGAGATCACGCCACTGCACTCCATCCTGGGCAACAGAGTCAGACTCCATCTCAAAAAAAAAAAAAAAATGTGAAGTCTGAAAATGAGGTTGATTTTTATTGCGTATTGACTATATACAGAAAGTTTAATGTTGTGTAATGTATTCCTTTGACTACATCTTGAAAATCAGATCAACCCCAAATTTCCTTCAAAACATGAAAGTTTTCTTGTGAAAGCTGACATATTTGCATTAAACAGAAGGGCGGATGTTAGGTTTGAGTGCGACAAATGAAACACTGTATAGAACTTTGGGGCATTTTAGTACTGACCAAGGCTACTCTCATGGGGCATTAGATATCCACAGTGGAGCATCGTACATGAACTCCACACAGCAACTCAACACTGCCTTGTGTGCCCACACGGACAAGATGCGGGGAGGCGAGGCAGAGAGAAGTTGCAATTGTTTTGGTGAAAATTAGTCCAGTGGAAAAACACATTGCTTTTACATTTCTTCAACTTTTGTCTCACATCCACGCGCATTTTGAGATCATGTCGTTTTGTCCAAACACTTTCACTGGCACATTTTTTTTTCTTGAGTTCCTCTGGAAGCATTTACTTCCCATCCACACCACCTCAGTCTGTCACGATGTCCAGCTGCTCCCCGGGTGTGAGGATCTGGGGCCAGCACTGCACAGCTCACTGAGAGACAAAGGCGGCTCAGAGGCAGATGTGGCTGTTCTCCTGGCACGTGGTGCCCACGCCGGCCACAGACAGGTACAGCTTCCCATCTGGACACACACAGATTTCGTAGAGTCTCTGCGAGCTGCCAGAGGGACCCCACGTCCCCTGCACCAGCTTTGGTAGGCACACAGTTTCAGCATCAAGCACAAGCTGGTTGGGAGAAGATGACACACAGGCGTTAAGGGAGGGCCACCCTGGTTAACAGCAAATCCCCATTCTCCCAAGGTTTCCAATTAGTTTCTTCTCACAGAAAACGAAATAGGCACCTGACTTTATGTAAGTCATTTCAATTATCTGATTCTTTTAAAGCCTTGTTCTATTTTACATGCAGGCTGGGACTTCACAGTTCCTTCCAGTCTAGCTGAGAAATGTGACCCCATTGTGAAAACGTTTCACCTTTACAGTTTTTGTTTTCAATAAACCAGGTTGCTTTTTAGTTTTGTGATGCTACACTTCTAAAAACGCCTTTCAAAATTATTTGTCAAAAATATTAGAATTCTGCCAATTTACATTTATCTTGTGACTCACTTTGACTATGTAAATCCTCTCCTCCCCATTAGAATCAAGTACCATCCACTGAAATAGATTAATCTTAATAATTTTTACCAGTGAATGATGAAATGTATCCTGATTTTATTCCTGATTTTATTTTCCTATGAGAGGCAATTAAATTCATCCTATTAGCTGGCAACCATTTTCCCAACTTTTAAATATTATTTGAAACGGCACTACCTCCTTTTAGATGCAGAAAAGCAGTAGACAGATAGACTAAGCCAATTAAAAAGAAACAAAAGCTACTGGATTTTCTGGTCATATGATAATTTAGTTAAACTGAAATGCAAACAAAGAGCCATTGAAATCTTTCTGATAAAGAAATAAGAATTGTCACATCCAGCAGCCAAACGCTGCCCACTCCAGGACACTCACTTGTTCCAAGGAATTAAACTGAATGTGGGTAGGCATAATCCTGTCCTTGCCAACAAGGCGAGCTCCTTCCTTTAGTTTATGTGGCTGTTATCCTTGCCTTTCAATCTATTAACAACTTGCTGTCTGCTGCACGCATTCCCTGGTGTGGACCCTGGCAGGTGAGGCTTGATCGCACGGCCCCACAGCATCGCGGGCAGCTCTGCTCCCTGCGTGCATCTCAGGCAGCTCTGCTCCCTGCGTGGTCTGGTGCAGTCGGGGTCAAAGAAGTCAAATAGGTGTTAGTATGTTTTTCAATTAGAATCTCTTTAGGTTATTATCCAACAACTCAGGTTTTTTGGGCACTTGCTTTTCACTAACACACTTTCAACTTGTTAGCTTCTGTCTCCTTTCTTGTGGTTAATTGGTCAATTTTTTTCTAGTTGTCATTTTTTCCTCTTCCAGCAAACTTGAGCTGCTGGGGCAGTCCACACACGACCTCCAAAACTCATCTTTTTTTTTTTTTTTTTTTGCCTTTATGGGACAGTGTTTGTTGAGAAGTTGAAATCTCTCTCATCCCTTTGAACTAGCTCCTCGTGGTAAGGAAGATTCATTCTAATTATGGGTCTGGCTGTGTGCTACTTGTAAAAATGACTCCTACTTCATGGAAATAAGTAATATTTCAAAAGTAAGGTAAGTTTAAATTTGTGAAGGTAACACATTTTTAAGTGTGTAGTGACATGATTTCATAATGTGATTCCAACACTCTTGATTTTTATTTCTGCATTTATCTGCTCCTGACATCATAACTTCATAGGTTATGACTTGCTGTGGCTTCCCCTGAAGACGTGTGTTCCAATAGCAGGCTGTTGTCTGGTGGGTCCTGCCCATACACTCTGGGGCTGCTCTCATGGCTGGCTCGATGATGGCACCATATCCACCTACTCCTTTACTTCACTACATTACTATGATATTAGTATCATAGTAATGTAGTTTCAAAATGTTGGCGCCCATATTCCTACAGTAGTGTCTCAAAACCCTGTGACATAATTAAGCAAATATTATGCTCCCTATTTGACAATAAGGAGAAAGGCCCAGAGAGGGCCAGATAAGATTCCTGAATTCAAACAGGTAATGAGGGAATTGATCTAGCGCTAGGACTCGGGCTTCCTGACTTCCAGCAGAATCCTCTGCCCGCTGCTCCACGTTTCATGTGTAGGGGATCTGTGCCTTGCCACAGGTGCAACGATTGGCCAGGGCTGGGGAGGAGCTTGGAAACCTATGTGCCCTCTCATTGTACTAACAGCATCCAGGGACATTTTTCCCAGCACAGTCATCCGGTGTATGGAGATGCACCTGACAGCAATAACTCAGGCACTCCCTGAGAATGACTCTATGGTCTAAGAAGAATGTGTGTTCAGAGTTCCGAGCTAAGGAGTCTACGAGGGGCCAACCCAGAGATTTAGTCCACATCTGTCAAGGACATTGGAGCACCTGGCCCATCCCTTTGAACACAGGCCAGATGGTTCATTGAGGTCCTTTGTTTTGGGCTAAATGGAAATTATTGCTAAGTGAAAGTGTTGTATAACCTGTATGCTTTTATGAATGGGGGCAGCTTTCCAGTCAAGCTCGCTGCTACTGGACCACCTTGCCTATAAGTTCTCAATAAACCCTAGGTCTGTTCCATGGCTCTGGGTCTCTTCTTCCGCCTCTTGGACATGGTAGCATCCTTATTTGAGTCAGCAGGGTCTGGCATGACAGCCAGGCCATGGTGGCATAAATGAACACAACCCACGCCACTCACTGCACTCACTGTTGGTAAGGCGGAGTATGTACAGGAGAATTCATGCAGCAGTGGCTTATTTTGAGCGCATTCATACATATAAAAATATCTGGGTTTAGGCCAAGAAGATGACATCTGTTATTTGTACAAATCTATAAATATGACATCATACGATTGGAATGAGCTTATAAGCCAAACCCTTGATTTTCTTCTAGACCTTTTAGGAACATCCCTAACTTGTTGGTGTTTCTGGCTGACTGAAATCGAGCTTTTTCCTTTTTTTTTTTTCCCCTAACAAACAAGGTTCTGTTATCGGTATTGAGCCGTGTGTACCCTAAGCCTCACTGTGACTTTGGCTGTGTCAGTGAGGTTTTAGTATCTCCTCCCCTGCTGTCTGCTGTCAACCTTGGTCTGGATAATATTAAATGGAAAATTCCAGAAATAATTTAAACATTTCAAATTGCACACTTTTCTGGCTAGCGTGATGGAATCTTGAGCCGTCCTGCCCAGGACATGAATCATCCCTGTGTCCAGCATCTCCACGCTGTCACGCTCCCAGCCTGTGAATCACTGAGGAGCTGTCTCCACGGTGAGATCCACTGTTAAGTTATTGTGGTGCTTGTGTTCAAGTCATCATTATTCTACTTAATAATGGCTCCAAAGCACAAGAGCAGTGATGCTGGCATATTGTTATAATCACTCCACCTTTTTTTTTTTTTTTTGGGACGGAGTTTTACTCTTGTTGCCCAGGCTGGAGTGCAATGAGATGATCTCAGCTCACCACAACCTCCGCCTCCGGGGTTCAAGTGATTCTCCTGCCTCAGCCTCCTGAGTAGCTGGGATTATAGGCATGCGCCACCATGCCCGGCTAATTTTTTTTGTATTTTTAGTACAGACGGGGTTTCTCCATGCTGGCCAGGCTGGTCTCGAACTATTGACCTCAGATGATCTGCCTGCCTCAGCCTCCCAAAGTGCTGGGATTACAGGCGTGAGCCACTGTGCCCGGCCAATCATTGTTCTTAATATCTCACTGAGCCTGATTTCTAAGTTAAACTTCAGCATAGTATGTATGCCCAGGAAAACACAGAGTGTACACAGGGTTCAGTACTGTGTTTTTAGGCTTCTGCTAGGGGTCCTGGAACATAGCCCCTGTCCATAAATGGGAGCAACTGTATTTCTAGGCTTAAAGTCCCAGGTTTTATCTTAAGTGTAGTTGACTTTGAAAAAACACTTATTTTTCATCTTCCATTTTCATTTAAACTGGAAATGCAGCTTAAGCGCAGCACTCTGGGCAATGAAAGGTGACAGTGGTTGTTGGTGGGTGACTCCTAGGGACAGCCATCCCCGAGAAGCTGGATCCCTAGGAAATGGCAAAATGAACATTCTCTGTAATCTCTGAATGTCTGTAGTGTGTTTTTTCCAACTTGAAAATAACAAGTCACTCGATAGCACAAATGTCAGTCAAAGAAAGTTGTGTGGATCTAGTACAGAATAATTTTAGCCTTTCTTGGCCCTTCTTTCAATGTTAAATTGTCTTTTGCTTGCCTTGTACGTTTGCTACTCTATGACCTTCATAATGTTTTCCTACAAAGTAATAGAAATTTAATACTGATTGCTTTACAGACATGATACTCAGGGTTAGCATCAGGACAAACAGTAGGAGGCTGATCTGTGAACTCACCATTCCATCACTACTATGCAAAACAATATCCATTTGAGAAAGTGCCTCGATTTTCCCAGCGTGAGCTTGAATATGCACCCCCCTTGGGGCATCCATACTTAGACTCCGGGTGGGGGATTCTAATCTGAGACGAGGAAAAGAGGCAAAGGAAAAACAGTATTAAATAAAACCACTCCAACAATCCCTCAACTTAGCATGGAAACTATGACTAGTAAGGTATATAAATCTTCAAGTCATTCTCAAATGGTAACATAGTGTGCATTATTCATTGATAAATCCAGAAATAATGTGAAATAAATAGACTTTATATCAGTGAAAGTCTATGAGATTAGTATCCTCTAAAAGCTGATAAAAACATTAGGCAGTCCTGGCTGGGTGCGGTGGCTCACGCCTGTAATCCCAGCACTTTGGGAGGCTGAGGTGGGTGGATCACGAGGTCAGGAGTTCGAGACCAGCCTGACCAACATGGTGAAATCCCATCTCTGCTAAAAATACAAAAACTAGCCTGACATGATGGCATATCTGTAATCCCCGCTACTCAGGAGGCTGAGTCAGGAGAAGCACTTGAATCGGGGTGTGGGGGGAGGCTGCAGTGAGTGGAGATTGTGTCACTTTACTCTAGCCTGGGTGACAGAGCGAGACTCTGTCTCAAAAAAAAAAAAAAAAAAAGCAGTCCTAATCCCCTGCATGTAGCAGTTTCCGATACTATTTCAAAAGAAAATGCCATTTATGAATAACTATACAAAATTATTTTCATTATGTCACCTGCTAGAGCTCAGTGGCTCTTTAGAGATGTGATCATGCTGCATGGCAGCCTTGAGCTCCTGGGCTCGAGAGATCCTCCTGCCTTGGCCTCTCAAGTAGCTGTGATGGGCTTGTTTTCTTTTTTAGTTGAAACACCAATTTATTTAGGAAAAAAAGATAGATTTAAGGACAATACATGCATTTTCCACATGTTCACGAGACAAAATATAAGTTGGTTAGGTTTTTTTTTTTTTTGATGGAGTTTCACTCTTGTTGCCCAGGCTGGAGGGCAATGGTATGATGTCAACTCACCACAAACTGCACGCCCCAGGTTCAAGTGAGTCTCCTGCCTCAGCCTCCTGAGTAGCTGGGATCACAGGACATGCACTACCACTCCTGGTTAATTTTGTATTTTTAGTAGATATGGGGTTTCTCCATGTTGGTCAGGCTGGTCTCGAACTCCCAACCTCAGGTGATCTGTGCTCCTTGGCCTTCCAAAGTGCTGGGATTTCAGGAGTGAGGTACCGTGCCTGGCTGGTCCTTTTTTTTTTTTTTTCTTTTTTTTTTTTTTTTTTTTTTTTTTTTTTTAAATTTAGAAAGATTACAGGGCAAATGGAAAGATTTCTTTTGGAAAAAATACTGAACTGATAGAACTGAAAGGAGGGAGGTTGGCCTCAGCTGGCTTTGGTTTTGTAAAATTTATCAGACTCTCCTTGTGGTTAAGCCAAATAAAGGAAGAGAACCAGGAATATAAGAGCCAGAGGAGCTATCTTACTTGCCTCTGCCTGGAAAAGGCTGTATTTCCACCAGATGGCACAATGTGATCATTTGAGACACTTTTCAGCTGCTCAGCCCAAAGTTTGAAATGCTGATTTCAAAGAAATGCTTAAAGAGCAGTAGGAAGCAGAAGAAAGAGAAAAAGATAAGTAATTAGGAAATCCTACCCACTGTGGGCTAGGGTTTAACGGGAGGAGAGGGGCAGGGAGCAGAGAGAAAGGAAGTTGTGTAAGAGAGAAGTACCCTGATAATGAATCTGCACTTAAACTGAATGAACATTTATTTGACAGACTTTTTACACCTGATACATTGCTCCCTTGTATTGGTGAGTTTTTTTGGTCTATCACTATTTGTTATAGAAGACAAAGTTTCATTTTATGAGCATGTAAAGTTAGACCTGCTATACATTTTCAAGTCTTACCTTGAGTATGAGAAAAATCTTAGAGACATTTATGGAATGTATTGGTCAAGTTAGGCTGGGGAACACTTTGGTACAGCTCCATGTGCATGGCCTAGCCCACTGCCTACCCAGTTTGCTATATATACATGCATACATACATATATATACACACGGAGTCTTGCTGTTGCCCAGACTAGAGTGCAGTTGGCGTGATCTTGGCTCACTGCAACCTCTGCCTCCTGGGTTCAAGCAATTCTCCTGCCTCAGCCTCCCAAGTATCTGGGATTACAGGTGCCGCCACTGTGCCCAGCTAATTTTTGTATTTTTAGTAGAGATGGGGTTTCACTATCTTGGCCAGGCTGATCTTGAACTCCTGACCTCATGATCCACCTGCCTGGGCCTCACAAAGTGCTGGGATTACAGGCATAAGCCACCATATCTGGCCTCAGTTTGCTATTTTGACCTTGGATAATTGTCTACATTTTTCCTGCAAGAAGGAAGGAAAGGAAGGAAGAATACAGAAGCACCTTTTAAGCCTGGTCCATTTTGGGCAGACCATCTGTGACCTTGAAGATCCTTGTGAAAGTGAGTCTGTTTCCAAGATCAGTCATTAAACAACAACAAAATGACCTCAACCTGATAATTTACAAATTTTTAATCATGTTATAATATGATGCCGCTAGAAGAGCAAACTTCTTACCCTTTGCATTATTTCTAGACTTGGAGATGAGAAATTTCAGTTCAACCTAGATTGAGACATATTTTACAAAAAGGCTAAGATTGCTCTGAAGCATACATTTCCATTAACACACTGAACAGTACTCACGTACAAAATAACTTGTTTTCTGTCTTTGTTATATTTTAGTTTGCCAGTTAGATATATAAATACCCTCTTTTTTGAATATGTAAATATATAAATATAAATATTATGACTTCAATGAAAAGTAAGAGTTTTGAACAGTGTCACAGAAATATATCCAAATGCTTATGTGTGTGTGCATGTAATATTAAATATATATCATATATAAATATGTATCTTTCATATCAAATGTTCAGGTCACATCACAGCAATTCTCTTCTTCGAACATAAGGCATTGACTTTGCTTTCAGAATTTGATTCTTCTCATTACTTCAATTGAAGATATACACAAAAGACTTGGAAGTTGACTTTGAGAGATCTCACAGTTGATTGGTGTATTAGTCAAGGCTCCCTAGAGGGACAGAACAGGATATATATAATCCTGAGATTATAGGCACCCTAATGGATCTCCTGTATTCCATGCATAGTCTTCTTTACCTCCATTGTGGAGTATATATATAAAGGGACGTTCACTAAGTTTTAACTTACAAGATCACAAGGTCCCACAATAGGCCATCTGCAAGCTTGAGAAGCAAGGAGAGCCAGTCCGAGTCTCAAAACTGAAGAACTTGGAGTCCAATGTGCAAGGGCAGGAAGAGTCCAGCGTGGTTGAAAGATGTAGGCTGGGAGCCTTTTCACATTTTTCTGCCTGCATTATATTCGCCGGCCGCTGATTAGATGGCGCCCACCCAGTTAAGGTGGGTCTGCCTTTCCAAGCCCACTGACTCCAATGTTCATATCCTTTGGCAACACCGTCACAGACACACCCAGGACCGATATTTTGTATCCTTCAATCCAATCAAGTTGACACTCAGTATTAACCATCACAAATCCAACCTTGGCAACTTGAACCCATATACGTCTCCTGAGATCATACAGAATCTTCAAATAAAGACAATAATGTCAACAGACACAGTGGCTCATGCCTGTTATCCCAGCACTTTGGGAGGCTGAGGTGAGCAGATCACCTGAGGTCAGGAGTTCGAGACCGGCCTGGCCAACGTGGTGGAACCCCATCTCTACAAAAAATAAAAATTAGCGGGGTATGGTGGCACGTGCCCATAGTCCCCGCTACTTGGGAGGCAGGAGAATTGCTTGAACCTGGGAGGCAGAGGTAGCAGTGAGCCAAGATCACGCCACTGCACTCCAGCCTGGGCAACAGAGTGAGACTCTGTCTGAAAAAAGAAAAAAAAAAAAGATCATAAGGTCATAATTACACCTAACATAATACAACTATTCTTTGTACAACTGGAAATGCACCAATCCCCAATCCAAATACTATTACATAAAGTTAACAATACTTAAGTGCTGATATGAAGTCAATAAGTCTTATGTCACATGATAAAAGAAAAGGAAATAAAGATATTTTCTTAGTACAAGTGTATACATGCACAAACATATTTTTAGCAGGAAAAAAGGAGAAAATACTTATGACAATTACAGTCCTTGTTTCTGTAGCTGGTCACGTGGTCGTAGCTGGTATTGATGACCTTCTTCTACTACCCACTCTGTGTTCCCTTTGCCTTCAGCAAGCAGCTCAGCAGGTCCTGGTTTTTTTCTGGTAGAGTGACCCAAACTTTCATTCCTGAGGGGTCTGGGACATTTGTAGTCCTGCCTGGATTGGGCTGTTGTCGTTTCCCATTGACCTTAATTCCAGGCATGGTAGTACTAAGAGATGCCTTAATGAATCTCCTGTATTCCATGCAGACCCTTCCTTACCTCCATTGTGGAGTAGTACACTAATTTCATCTTGATAGTCCAGGTCAGTCACCCCAGCCAACACTGTAACTCCCTTCTTAGCCTGTTGACTTAAAGGTAGGACGAGCTCCAAGTGTCCGGGTGGCAATCCTAAATTCCAGTTAATGGGATCATTGTTGTGTCTCCTGGTGCCAGCATTCCTCCCTCTGGAACTAAGAACTCAAGGTCAGCAGAATGTAACGTTGCAGGAACAGGGAGCAAAAATTTTGCTAGAGGATCACTATGGGTGTTGGTGAGAGGTGCCACTTCCACTTCCACCCCTTGATTCCTGGACCTGTGAATCCTGGCTGTGGGAGAAACAGTACCACATATTGGACATTGATTCAGAGTATAGACAGCCTTCTGGAGAACTCTGCACCAGCCTTGCAAAGTATTGTCACCTAGGTGGCATTGTAATTGTGACTTCAAAAGGTCATTCCACCGTTCTACCAATCTAACTGCTTCAGAATAACGGGGAACATGGTAACACCAGTAAATTCCATGAACATGAGCCCACTGCTGCATTTCTTTAGCTGCAAAGTGAGTTCCTTGGTTAGAGACAATGCTGTGTGGAATACCATGATGGTAGATAAGGCATTCCGTGAGTCCACGATGGTAGTCTTGGCAGAAGCATTGCATGCAGGATAGGCAAATCTATATCCAGAGTAACTGTCTATTCCAGTGAGGACAAACCTCTGCCCTTTTCATGAGATGGAAGGGGTCCAATATAATCAACCTGCCACCAGGTAGCTGGCTGATCACCCAGAGGAATGCTGCCATATTGAGGGCTCAGTGTCAGTCTCTGCTGCTGGCAAAATGGGCACTCAGCCGTGGCTGTAGCCAAATCAGCCTTGGTGAGTGGAAGTCCATGTTGCTGAGCCCATGCATAACCTCCATCCGTGCCACCATGGCCACTTTGTTCATGGTCCCGTTGGACAATGACAGGGGTGATGGGAGAAAGGGACTGAGAGGTGTCCACAGAACAGGTCATCGTATCCACTTGATTATTAAAACCCCTCCTCTGCTGAGGTCACCTGTTGGTGAGCACTCACATGGGATACAAATATCTTCACAGTTTTTGATCACTCAGAGAGGTGCATCCATATATCTCTTCTCCAAATTTCTTTGTCACCAATTTTCCAATCATGCTTCTTCCAAGTCCCTGACCATCCAGCCAAACCATTGACTACAGCCCATGATTTAGTATATAATTACACATCTGGCCATTTCTCCTTCCATGCAAAGTGCACAGCCAGGTACACTGCTCAAAGTTCTGCCTGCTGGGAAGGTTTCCCTTCACTGCTGTTCTTCAGGGATGTCCTAGAAAGGGATATAGTACTAGGGGCTATAGTGCTACAGCTGTCCACTTTTGTGTGGTGCTTGCATATCATGCAGAACCATCTGTGAACCAGTCTTCTCCTCCTCTGTCAACTGATCACAGGGCACTCCCCATGAGGCCTGGGGGAGAGAAGGCAGGGTGGCAAGAGTGAAGACCCATTGGCATTTGAGCCATTTCCTCATGTAACTTACTTGTGCCTTTAGGACCTGCTTGAGCACTATGGCATATACAACACTTCCATTTGATGATGGAATGCTGCTGTGCGTGACCCCCTTTATGGCTAGATGGGTCAAAAAGCCCCCAGTTCATGACAGGCAGTTCAGGTCGCATGGTGACTTGATGACCCATAGTCAAATGTTCAATTTCCACCAAAGCCCAGTAACAAGAGCTGTCTTTCAAAAGGAGAGTAGTTATCTGCAGAAGATGGCAGGGCCTTGCTCCAAAGTCCCAGAGGCCTCTGCTGTAATTCACCTATGGGGGCCTGCCAAGGGTTCCCAACAGCATCACTATCTACCACTGACACCTCAGGCACCATCGGATCTGCTGGGGCATATGGCCCAATTGGCAGAGCAACCGGCACAGCAGCCCGGACCTGGGACAGAGCCTTCTCCTGGTCTGGACCCCCCTCAAAGCTGGCAGCCTTTCTGGGCAGCTGGAGTAACACACCCAAATGAGGAATGTGTTGCCTCCAAAATCCAAATAGGCCGAGTAGGCATTGCGCCTCTTTCTTGGTTGCAGGTAGGGCCAAATGCAGCAAGTTATCCTTCACCTTAGAAGGAATATCTTGACAGACCCCACACCACTGGACCCCTAGAAATTTTACTGAGGTAGACTTTCAGAAGGTCCCTGAATTTTAGCTGGATTTATTTCCTGTCCTCTGCCACACAAATGTCTCACCAATAAGTCCAGAGTGTTTGCCACTTCTTGCTCACTGGACCCAATCAGCATAATGTCATCAATGTAGTAAACCAGCGTGATGTCTTATGGAAGCGAAAAACAATAAATAACTCCATCCTTAATATTCTGTTCCTTTAGAACCACTTCTGGTATTAAAATCTGTATTAGTTAGGGTTCCCTAGAGGGACTGAACTAATAGGATACACACACACACACATACATACATATGTAGGATATGTGTGTGTATGTGTGTGTATATATGTATATATATACACACACACACATATCCAGGATCAATACTTTGTATCCTTCAGCCCAATAACATATGTGTGTGTGTATATATATATATATATATATATATACACATACACATATGGGAGTTTATTAAGTATTAACTCACATGATCACAAGCTCCCACAATAGGCCGTCTGCAAGCTTGAGCAGCAAGGAGAGCCAGTCCAAGTCTCAAAATTGAGGAACTTGGAGCCCAATGTTAGAGGGCAGGAAGTGTCCAGCATGGGAGAAAGATGTAGGCTGGGAGCCTAACCCAGTCCCTCCTTTTCACGTTTTCCTGCCTGCTTTATATTTGCTGGCAGCTGATTAGATGGTGCCCACCCGATTAAGGATGGATCTGCCTTCCCCAGCCCACTGACTCCAATGTTAATCTCCTTTGGCAACACTGTCGCCAACATACCCAGGATCAATACTTTGTATCCGTCAGTCCAATCAACTTGACACTCAGTATTAACCATCACAATTGGTGTTATAAAAAATACAATTAAGGTGATTTGATTGCTGAGGCAGGAGTATTATTTTTTCTATGGTACTGAGCTGCTACAAAGCAGGTGAGTTTTAAGTTGTGCTCCTTGTTAAATAAAAATAAATAGAAGTCAGTCATTTTCCAAAGTTTACCCTGTATTCATTTTCAATTGCGTTTATAGACTATGACTAGTCAGTCATGTATGACCTTAATAGTTATTGCTCATGTCATGTTGATGTCATTTTTAAAAAAAGAGAAGGCCAGGCTCAGTGGCTCACGCCTATAATCCAAGCACTTTGAGAGGCTGAGGTGGGTGAATCAATTGAGGTCAGGAGTTCGAGACCAGCATGGACAATATGGTGAAACCCTGTCTCTACTAAAAATACGAAAATAAGTCAGGCATGGTGGTGGGTGCCTGTATTCCCTGGGAGGCTGAGGCAGGAGAATTGCTTGAACCCAGGAGGCAGAGGCTGCAGTGAGCTGAGATCGCGCCACTGCACTCCAGTCTGGATGACAGAGTGAGACTCCATCTCAAAAAGAAGAAAAGAGAAAGAGAAGGAGAAGGAGAAGAAGGAGGAGGAGGAGGAGGAGGAGAAGGAGAAGGAGTTACTGAAAAATATGAACAAAAGCCTAAATATTTAAAGCTTTTTTCAAGCTCTTATTAAGCTCAAATTTTACAAGATGAGAGACCAGGAAGCATGACTACAAGTATAATAAGAAAACCTAATCTTTTATTTTCAGAAAACAGTTCAGAGGATTATCAATGGCTGAAGAATGGGTAACTCACCTGATATACCATACGAAAATTTCCAATTTTCAAAAGGTTGAAATCTAATAAACGTACTCAGCACTAAGACTAAACTGAACATGATTTTATATTTCTTTAGAAATTTCCTAATATTACCTAATACATGTTTTTGGAGCCATCATTTTTTTTCAAATGTCACATTTGGAAAAGCAATTTAATATAAAAGAAAACCTCTGTGTTTATCAGTACAGTTTCAAAATGCGTATAGATTTAGGGGGTACAAGTGTAGTTTTGTTACATGGATATATTACATAGAGGCAAAGTCTGGGCTTTCAGTGTAACCACTGTCCAAATGGCATGCGTTGTACCCATTAAGTGATGTCTCATCCCTCACCACCTTATCCTCCCAGCCTGCAGTGGCTATCACTCCAATGTATTTATCATGGTTACTGGTTTATTTGCCACATTTCTATCATTTTATTTGATTTCCCAAGCTTCTTCTTTTCATTGTTTCTTCTTTCTCTCCTTCGTTGGATTAATAAACTTTTAATATGCACACGAGGTGGTTGGGATCAGAGGCTGATTCCTCGTTGAACACCGTAAGTAGTGTATGTCAGCCCCACTTTGCCCTCATCTCTACCCTAGGGCAATGTGCCAAGCACCAAGCCAGCTGTCCTACAGGAGTAGTTGGACACCTCATAGATGAAGGCTGAAGAAAAGTGACTTTCCCCTGCAAATCAAGGGAAAGGAGGCAGCTCCCCACCTCCCCAGTGAAAAGGTCTCTTCATGGGTCCACAGATTGCAAGTGAAAAAAACCTCTCTCTACCCTCTAGAGAATGAGGAAGACATACATGTGAAGAACCATGGCTAACAATTTCTCAGAATTGAAAAAGAACGGGAGTTTCTCTAACCAAAGAACTGAAGTTCACCAATACCCAAGTATAAACTAACACATACCAGACACTTTGTGGTGAAACTGCAGATCGTGAAGATTTACAAGAAAATCTTAAAATAATTCAGAATGAATATCAGATCGTCTCTAAAGAATCAAAAGTACACTAATGAGTAATATATTTTAAAATGCTGGTGTTAAATGATTGTCAGCCTAGATAGAAATAGCTCAGCCTAACCAGCACTCGACTATAAAGGAAATCAGACATATCAGACACAGGGAACAAATGTAGTATTTATAGATCTTTACCAAAAAAAGTATGTACGGAAATTAAAGTAAGAAGAAAAGAATGCTTCCAAGAAGAAGCGATGGCCATTAAAAAACGTGTTGGTAAAGCTAAATAGGTATGGCCTGAAAAAATACAGCAGGGAGATAAATAAAAGCAATGCTGAAATAAAACCACATGGAAAGGGAAGTTTGGATGGAAGTGACTTTTAAAAAATATTATTTGGGGCCGGGCGCGGTGGCTCACGCCTATAATTCCAGCACTTTGGGAGGCCGAGGCGGGTGGATCATGAGGTCAAGAGATCGACACCATCCTGGTCAACATGGTGAAACCCCGTCTCTACTAAAAATACAAAAATTAGCTGGGCGTGGTGGCGCACGCCTGTAGTCCCAGCTACTCGGGAGGCTGAGGAAAAATATTATTTGGGAAGAAGCTGGTATTGATGTAGACTTGGTTGACAAGTATTAATGTGTCTCTGTGCATGTAAACAAATAAAAGACAATCATTAAAAGAAGAAATATAGAACAATTAGAGAGAAATATAGGTGGAGAGAAGGAAAAGTTTATTAATCCAACAAAGGAGAAAAAATGAAAAGAAAATCATGGTAAATAAAATGATAGAAAAGTGGCAAATAAACTAGTAACCATCACAAATATAAATGGGCTAAAATAACCCATTAAAAGAAAATCTCAAACCAAAAACTTTTCCCTAGAGAAACAACTGAAACATAATGCTGCAAACCTATTGAAAATAAAATATTTGGAAAAGGTAAATCAGTGCAAAAGAAAGCAGGTCCAGGTATAGCAACTGTAATATCAGATAAAATAAGGGAAAAAGGGTAACATTACTTATGATTAAAAGAAACAATTCATAAGAATTAAGCAGGGACTTATATGCATCAAATATTAAAGCAAAAGAAAAAAATTTGCAATACCAAAATTATAGTGGAAGTTTTAATAAGCCTCAGCAAGAAACTGATAAAGAAGACAAAATTAGTAAGTATATAGAAGATGTTAGCAACGTAATTTGTAAAATTGACCTAGCAGCCGCAACCATACAAGCCTTGCATTAAAGCAAAAGATAACACACTTTTACCATAAAAGTTTAAGAATAATTATAAGACCATAATGAGTAACAAGAAAAAATTTCTAGCAAAGAAAGAACCAAAGTGGACCTGAAAACAGAAAACGTGAAAAGAGGGACTTCATTAAATAAATTGAAGTGGAAAAAATCCAACTTCCCCAAAATGTACTGGCTCCTTCATCTCATAGATGAGTTTACACCAAACTTTTATTGTTCTTACACACACTGTTTCAAAGCAAAAGGAGAGGCGGGAACTTAGACCAAAATGGAGCTTTCTTAATTTGATAATAGGTATTACTACTCACCAAAAACCTATAGCAGCAGACATCATTTAATTAAAAAATTTAGAAGCATTTCTCAAAGTGAGGAAGTAAACACAGATGTCCATCATTACGCTCTCTAGTCAACATTTACTGGAGGTCCCAGCCAAATTAATGAAACAGGAATTTGAGAAGTATAGTAATAAAAGGGATGACTTTTTTTTTTTTGGCACTATAACCATCTTAATGGACAAACCAGTTAAGTTCTATAATCAAAATATTAAAACTAAGCTGGGTATGGTGGTTTGCCCCTGTAGTCCCAGCTACTTGGAAGGCTGAGGCAGAAGGATCATTTGAGCCCAGGAGTTCAAGGCCAGCCTGGACAATATAACAAGACCCCATCTTCCTCTCTCTCTTTTTCTCGCTCTCTCTCAGTGTATGTATGTATTACTATATATAAACTAATAACAATGATCAATAAAGTTGCTGGGTTAAAAACTGCCATGTAAAAATCAATAATAATCACTTTTGAAAGTGTAGTGGAAAAGAGAACCCATTCTCAACAGAAACAAAAACTATGAACACCCTGGTAATTAATTCTAATAATTATGGGCCAAACCTAAGAATATCACAAAATAATAAGGGCATAAAAGAAGACTGTGAATAAAGAGATATACATATTTATGAACAAGATAATTCATTATTATAAAGATATGAATTCAATGTAATTCCAATGAAAAAGCCAATAGAGTTTTTCATAAAACCTGAAAAATTGATTTTAAAATGTACATGGAAAATAGACCAGGCACAGCAGCTTACGTCTGTAATCCCAGCACTCTGGGAGGCTGAGGTGGACAAATCACTTGAGGTCAGGAGTTCGAGACCAGCCTGGCCAACAGGATGAAACACAGTCTCTACAAAAATACAAAAATTATCCTGACGTGGTGGCACGCACCTGTAATTCCAGCTACTGAGGTGGGAGAATCACTTGAACCCAGGAGGTGGAGGCTGCAGTGAGTCAAGATCATGCCACTGCACTCCCGCCTAGGTGACAGAGTGAGACTTCATCTCAAAAACAAAAACAAAAACAAAAAAAAAAAAAGAAAAAAGAAAAAACCAACAACAACGTGAAAAATAAATGTCTAAAAACAGTCAATACAACTCTGAAGAAGACATGGTGGGGACACTTGCCCGAGCAGAGACCAGATACATTGTACAATTGGCTTAAGAAGAAAAAAGCCAGAACAATGAACAAGAATAGGGCACCTATTAAAAATACCTTTACAGATGACAAAAATAGCAGTACAGATCAACAAGGAATAGGCTGACTTTTGAGACAACTGGGTATCCTCCCTCAGAAAACAAAAGAAAATTATTTGCCTACTTCACATCCACATGAAAAATAACTTCTTGTCTGGTTAAAGACCTGAGCACAAAAACAAAAATGTTTTTTGAAAGAACTCACTCCCTCCTTAGTGCCCAAGCACTGGTTCCTGAAAGTTTATTTTCATAGAATACTACAAGGATACGTTAACTTTCATACTGGCCAAATACTCTCCAGAAAAAGATCAGTGTCTGTAAATACATGATTAACAAACGAAGCATTCATGATCTTCAGCAATCCACTTCTTGTTAGACTTGACCACCATCTAAATGTAATATTGACATTAATGGGGATCCATATGAAGGTTTTTAATTTTTTCTCACTTCTGTTCTGAACGTCTTTTGTACATAAAAACTTGTGTTTTGGTTTACTACTGAACTATGCAAAGACATTGTGTATATGTAATTGTATTTACACAATAAATGCCTGCATTTTAATAGTTATGTATTTATTTATAATGTTCTTCATGATTTATGACAATGATGAGCTTTGAAATTCAAGTATTTCACTTGAATTTATGGAATCTATGGTTTTAAATGCAGATATAGTCTGATACATTGATATGAACATTATTGCCCTATATTTCTTTTCCCATGCATGCATACTGACTTGTAATATTTTCCTTTGAATTAGATCACCTGTTATTACAACTTTGAAAAAAAACCATACAGTTCTGTATAACCTCACTCCTAAAAGATGCATAACAGGGCACAGTGCCAGGTACTACCCACAGCCAATGCTGGCGCCATCCCAGTCACCCAAATTACTCCTGAGATTTCATTATTTCTGAAAAGTGCGCTCTGTCTTCAAAAAAGATGACTTGTTTCACTCATGAAAAATAATAAAATAATCTTCTAAACTCATCAAGACTGTACTCACAGAAAATAAACTAATAATCTCTGAGGTCTAGAAGGGAGTAGAAGGTCACTGCAATGAACAGAAATTTGTGAAAGACGATGCTGCATTATAGGGTAACTAATGTCACGCAGATAAGATGGCTGCAATTAAACATCTTTGACTTGTCCAATTCAGTCTTTCAGGGAAGGCTCAGGCTCTTAATCACTGCAGAAGTCAGTGAACTGTAAAAGTTCGGTTGTCCTTAAGACCTCTGTTTCAGTAACTTGGTTTCGTATTTTTCATCTTATTTGTTAATCTTAAAGGGAATCAAGTTTGTTTGCTAAGAAAACATATTAAATCTTAAAAAGCTCCTTTTAGCCAAAAGAAAATTAGAACCAATATATTTGTAAGTCCTTCTTGAAAAGGGCAACTGTACATTTACATTTGGAGTATTACTTTTCATATAACATATTTCACATTCCAGATTTAACACCCCCTGTTCTTGGATAGATGACTCAGTAAGTTGTCAGTTTTCCCTAAGGGAATTTATAAACTTAATGTAATCCTAATGACAGATAAGTTTTCTGGAACTAGGCAAGTTAATACTCAAGTTCCTATTCAAAAATACATAAGCAAGACTAGGCAGACTAATGCTCAATGATATACAAAGTCGTGTGTGTGTGTGTGTGTGTGTGCGTGTGTGCATGAGTGTGTCTGTGTGTATGTGTGAGCACATGAATCCATGTGTGCACAGTTAGTCCTACCAGACATGAAAATAACCTCTAAGGCCTATTCAGGCTGGGCCTGGTGGCTCACCCCTATAATCCCAGCACTTAGAAAGGTCGAGGTGGGTGGATCACCTGAGGCCAGGAGATCGAGACCAGCCTGGCTAACATGGTGAAATCTGATCTCTACAAAAAAAAAATACAAAAATTAGCCAGGCATGGTGGCAGGCATCTGTAATCCCAGCTACTCAGGAAGCTGAGGCAGGAGAATCACTTGAACCTGGAAGGTGGAGATTGCCGTGAGCTGAGATAATCCCACCACACTCCAGTCTGGGCAACAGAGCAAGACTGTCTCAAAAAAAAAAAAAAAAAAAAAAGCCCATTTAGTTAACAAAGTCAGTACTGGCTCATGAATGGCGAGGCTAGTGCAGCAAAACAGCAAATGCAGGAACAGCCCCAAGCATAGAGAAATGTAGTGGTAAAGGTTGTATTTCAAATCATAGGGGGAAAAGTAGAGTTTTAAATAAACAATCCATTGCTGGCATATCTGGTTGGCCAATTGGAAAAGGTACAATTAGAACCAGACCCCACACCTTACGGATCCTACTTCACACAATAACAAATAAGTGGATCAGAGGTCTAATTGTAAAAGATAAAGCCATGCCAGAAACATGTTAATTTCAAACTTAAAATCCAGATACAGCAAAAGAAATGGTTAATAAACATGAGGATATAAGCATTGAAATGCCTGCATGGCATAAAGTACAATAAGTTAAAAACCAAATGAAGCTGGAGCAAATTATTTAAAACATACATCGGAGATGAAGGGCTAATATCCCCAATATTTAAAGAAGCCTTAAAAATTAAGAGTAAAATATATATATATATATATATTTAAATTTAAATTCACTTTTTATTCTTTCATAGATTTTAACAATTATTCACAACTTCTAACATAAAGGTAGTGAAATCTCAAGGATAAGGAGGCAATATACATGGTCTCTTCTATTCGTTCTTCAGGATGGAAGGAAATCTCCAAAGGGTACCATGTGTGAGATTAACACTGGAAAAATACACATGAAACTTGTTTGACTGGCTCCACTTAGGACTAGACACAGCGCAATACAGAACTGCATCATGTTTTTAAAAGATCATTGTAATTTTAACACATTCTTACTAAAGACACACATACTATCAGTGACCAACCTGAAATTCTGTAACAGGTAAAGGGAGACTTATGATGAATATCTAAGCATAGGTTCTCTAGCATCTTCACACTCAAACATCAACATTCTTAAAGGGAATAAGAATGATTTCAAATGCAAAACAGCAAAAAAACAAATTTGGTCAAACTTTCTTCATCACACCATTCGTTGCTATCACAGTCCTAGTTTGCTGGTAGGTTTAAGATAGGTTTAAGAGAGTAAAAATATTTTTAAAAAGTAGAAAAAGACAAATAATTCACAAAAAGAAATATAAAAATTGGCTTTAAACATGAAAAGTTGCTCCACCTCACTCGTATTAAGAGAAATGCAAACTGTATTGAGATATAATTTCTAACCTTTCAGATTGGCAAAAATTAAAATAGATTAATTAAAGAACATTGTGTTGGGAGCTACGGGGAAAGGAAAATAGGTTTTATTGTAACAATGCTAGTGTGCAAATTGGTACACCCCAATAGAGGGGAAGTCACTGGCAGGGGATCTGAGTAAACAATATATGCATTTATCTTTTTCACCCATAGATTCCTCTTCCAGGAATTTACCATGAAGCTATTTCTCCAACAATGCGAAAATTTACCTGCACAAGCACGTTTGGTTCACATTGTAATTACAAAATATTGTAAATAAATAGGTGCCCACATACAGGAGAGCAGTTGAAAAACCTCTGATGCGTGCCTACTAGGGACCTGTATGCGGTTTCTGGAGCTCTTTCCTGGCATATGCCTTCTTCTCTGATCCGGTGCCCCCAAGACTCCATCAGCCTTCACTCCCCACTCTTGGATCTCTTTCTCCTCCATTCCCTGAGGTTCCCAACTTCTAACTGGATTCCCCTGCCCTGTGCCTTGATTCTGAACGTGCCTGAGAGCAGAGAGCTTGGGCAAGTGTAGGGCTCACCTCATTAGTTTATCTTGTTTTGCATTTCCAGTGTCTGAAAGTGGTTGTTTCATATATTTGTCAAGTGTTTTCCTGGTTACTAGAGATGTCACATCTGGTCCCAGTTACTTCATGAGGGACAGAGGAAGACTGTTGCCCAGAGCTGCCCTGCTGCGAGCTTGCAGGGGTTCCCTTTCCCAGATCCTTCTTAACAATTTCCTTCTCCCACTTCATACGGAAAGACATGCTCATTCATTCTGAATCGATTATGATGTATTACCGTGAGGTAGAAATACTTCCAGGAGTAATGTGCAAGGGAAAATGTAAAATATTGGTGATAGAATGGACAAATTGAATGACAATGATTACAGAGATAATCATTGGGCAAATTACACAGTTTCCAACTCTTTATTTTCAACAAAAATTGAAGAAAGGCCTAATAATTGTCAGCTAATAGTCATTACAAATAACTTTTAATGGTGTATATTTAGGGAAGGGTTCAGAACATTGAGTGACTTTTTTAAAAATAAAACTTTTTGATTCACATCTACTTATTTATGTGAACAAGGCTCCTTGGGACATCTACTTAAAAAATAGGAAATATACTGATGCCTAATTGTTAGAAATAAAGCTTGGAGTCATAAGGAAAAACGAGCATGAGACAAAGAATTTCTCAGCAAAGCAAATTTACTCCTGCACAGAAGGGTGCCTCTCTTAGGGCTGGTAGCCACCAGAGCACGCCAAACAAAAGAGAGTAGAAACTTTAACTCCTAACGCGACTCCTGTCTCTGTGTCCTTTCCCCATTGGCTGGGGTTGGACTGCACAACTTAAAGTAGACTTGATTGGCTAAACATTTAAGCTTTTTTAGATAAGGTGGATGCATGGTGGGAGAGAGGGGAGAGAAGAAAGGGCTCATCTGTGGCAAACTAGTGATCCACCCCTTTCCCAAATAAGGAAAGGAATTGAGCTGGTGCTGTGGCATGCCTGGGCATGTAGTAAAATCAAAAAGAAGAAATGGAAAAGAGAAGGATGGGGGTACTTTGAATTAAGGAATAAAAGGTTAAGCAGGCTATTTGAAAAGAAACCTTGCTGTATCTCACACTAATTTTGACTCCTATTAATAAGCTATATTTATTAGCAGACTTATCAAATAGTTTTAAGAAAGTTCCAACCATTCATTAAGAGATGTACTTTTATACAATTTTACTTTTTGTTACTATCAAAATCTTAATATATTGATTTTTTTCACTTAAAAATTATTATTATTATTATTATTATTTGAGATGGAGTCTCACTCTGACACCAGGCTGGAGTGCAGTGGCACAATCTCAGCTCACTGCAAACTCTGCCTCCCAGTTCAAGTGATTCTTCCACCTTAGCCTCCCAAGTAGCTGGGACTACAAGTGCGCACCACCATGCCTGGCTAATTTTGTATTTTTAATATTTTGTATTTTTTGTCTTTTTTCACTATGTTGGTCAGACAGTCTCAATCTCTTGACCTCGTGATTTGCCCACCTCGGCCTCCCAAAGTGCTGGGATTACAGGCGTGAGCCACCGTGCTGGCCATTTTTAATTGATATGTAATAAATGTACATACTTATGGAGTAGAGTGATATTTTGATACATGTACACAATATTGAATACTCATATCAGAGTAATTGACATATTCATGACTTCAAACATTTATCATTTCTTTATGCTGGGAACATCTGAAATTCTCTCTTTTAGTTATTTAAAAATATACAATAATGGGAGGAGAAGAGGGTAGGGAGGGGCCGACTAATAGATGCAAAATTACAACTTACATAGGAAGAATAAGTTGTAGTGTGCTATAGCACTGGAGGGTGACTACAATTATACTGTTTTGATCAATTGTTTTCTCCTTAAATTATGACTCTATCCAAAATTTTTTTTTAATTCTATAGGTCACTGGAAGTAAATATATATATCTATTTCTTGTGGAGAAATAAGATAGAGTGATCAATGAAATACTATTAATCACTAAGTAGTGTTTATTAGGAAAAAATTGTGGGTAAGTGAACTGGAAGTATTAGGTCAAGGAAAAAAAGAAAACTTTTCTGACTCCTTAAGAAGAGCTTGGTTGGCTGGGTTCAAGCGAATTCTGCCTTAGCCTCCCAAGTAGCTGGGATTATAGGCATGTGCCATCACTCCCTGCAGATTTTTGTATTTTTAGTAGAGATGGGGTTTTGCCATTTTGGCCAGGCTGGTCTTGAAACCCTGACCTCAGGTGATCCACCTGCTTCAGCCTGCCAAAGTGTTAGGATTACAGGTGTCAGCCACTGCACTGGATCCCACCGATTCTTATTAATGCTATTTCTTTTCTAATTTTGATTCCCTCTGCTATTAATATTGTGGTGCCTTTCTTTGGTTAGCATTTCTCAGCACTTCAGGCTGCTCCAAGCCCCATTTTCATCATTCCCTAGCCCAGCCCTGGGATCAGCCACTTCTCCAAGGAGTCCCGGTTCCTTTGAGAATTATATGAAAAACAAAGTTCTGGGAGCCAATGATTTCATTTTAATTCATTTTAATTACTTGATGTCTTATTTTTATAATTTCTATTTCGTTATTTCCCAAATCTGCCATTTTTCATCCTACCTTGTCTTTGTCTTACATTTCTATTCATTTTTTCCTCATTTGAGCATTTTATTTATACTTGTTCTAAAAATCTCTTTGCTTGCTCTATGACTTAACAGTTTCAGGAGGTTGTTTGTAGCAGCTGCTAATTCTAATTCGTCTCCATTATAGTTCAGTTCCATTTTTTTAGTAAACCAGTCTTCAGCAGGGATTGTTTTCCTTAAGTGGCTTTATGTCATGGGTGATGGAATAACTTCTTCAATGTGGAACAGACATGGAAATAATAACTTACTTAATTGGCATCACATCCTCATAGTGTTACACAGAATTCAAATGCTCCCTTTTCCAGGGTATCATCCCAGATTGCCCTGGGAAGATATTATACTTTTTTGCCTATGCCTCCAATAAAAGTTTTGCTTTCATCATAGCAACTAAAGATACTGTTCTAACTTGTTTGCATGTTTCTTTTCTCAATAGACTGTAAACTCATTAAGTTCAAGGACCCTACTTTTATTCCATGTAACCAGTATCTATCATGGACTCTGGCACATAAACACTTTAATACACTTTTCCTGAATTTTTTTAAAAAGAATGAATGACATCATGTATGAGTGAAAGATTGCTCTAAGGTAGTTTGTCAGCATTCCTACTTTCTTGCGAATGATTTTGCCATAAGAAATATAAACCTAGTTTCAGTACAAGTTAGTTATCATTCTTCTTAAAGATACTGGCTGGGCGCGGTGGCTCACGTCTGTAATCCTAGCACTTTGGGAGGCCGAGGTGGGTGGATCACCTGAGGTCAGGAGTTCAAGACCAGCCTGGCCATCATGGTGAAACCCCATCTTAAAAAAAAAAAAAAAAAAAAAAAGAAAGTAATAGCTGTTACTCTTCTATGGCTATCATTTGAGCAAATATCAGTTTAAATTGTGATAAACATGCATATTCCAGAGATGTATTTATAAATGCATCCTGATCTTCACCTACAAAATCCACATTAAATATTTATATAGGCCCACTAGAATATTCTAGAATCCTTTTACTGTAATCAGGCCAAAAATAGTAATGTTGCTGGAACCAGAAATAAAAAGTGGAACATACTTTATGGTAAGAAGCTGCAGAAGAAAATATGACCATCATATACTCAGTCAGAGGCATCTGGGCATAAATCAAAGAATCAATCACTCAAGGATCCGGTGGGTGGTGGAGACAGCAAACCGGACGTACATGGGCTCTGGCGTCAGAGCTAGATTTGATTACAAGCGGCTACCTTTCCAGTTTTGTGACTTAGAACGTGCAACTATCTAGATCTGAGTTTCTGCCTTTATAAAGTGGTGATAAAATTGCCAATCACTTCATGATTAAATGAAACAAATTCTGTGACAGCGCCCAGCGCAGTTCCTGGCAGTGGAAAGCATTCAGTGGGTAATCATTCACACCCCCCATTCTCACCACATTCCTTAAGCACTTCCTTGCAGTTTTTTTTTCAATTGCTTTCGTTTTAACACTTGGGTTGCTCAATCTTCCCTCAGTACCGCCTTTTAGAAAGTAAGAGAATATTCTTGTGCGGTTTCTTTTTCAGTAAGAGCCTGAGGTATAAGTAAGAAAATTTATGTCTTTTTTTTTTTTTTTTTTTTTTTTTTTTTTTTTTTTTTTTTTTTTTTTTTTTTTTTTTTTTTTTTTTTTTTTTTTTTTTTTTTTTGAGACAGAGTCTTGCTCTGCTCTGTCGCCCAGGCTGGAGTGCAGTGTCTCTGATCTCGGCTCACTACAACCTCCACTTCCCGGGTTCAATCAATTCTCCTGCCTCAGCCTGTCGAGTAGCTGGGATTATAGGCATGCACCACCCTGTCAGACTACTTTTTGTATTTTTAGTAGAGACAGGGTTTCACCACATTGGTCAGGCTGGTCTTGAACTCCTGATCTCGTGATCTGCCCAACTTGGCCTCTCAAAGTGCTGGGATTATAGGCGTGAGCCACAGCACCCGGCAGATTTATGTCTTAATGAGACAACGTGAGATGAATTATTTAATTGAGATCTATATATTTTTAAAAACTGACATTTACTTTAGAAGTGTTTTGGCATTTCTACAATCCATATTATTTTATAATTTCAAAATGGCTTTAATAGGATTATTTCCACAGATTTGAATCATTTTTCTAAGCTATGAAAGTAAAATGTTTTTCTTCTCTATAAAAATTCTTTAATCTTTTGATCCATTATCAAAATTAACAAATCCTTGTTGTAATTTAATTATAGTCATAATTTATTTTTATGTGACAAATGTTTGCTTTGTGGGTAAGATAAAATTGAACTTCTACTTGCTTTTGATGAATATTTAATTGGACACTAAATATGTAAAAAATGCTGATTTTCCTAATCCTATTCTATTTAGTGTGAATATCTATGTAGGGTAACAATTTTTTTTTTCTTGGGACAGTCTGGCTCTGTCATCCAAGCTGAGTTGCAGTGAGTCAAGACTATGTCACTGCACCTGGCCATATAACAACAATTTTAAAAATGATTGTTGGCCAGGCGCGGTGGCTCACGCCTGTAATCCCAGGACTTTGGGAAGCCGAGGTGGGCAGATCACCTGAGGTCAGGAGTTCAAGACCAGCGTGGCCAACATGGTGAAACCCTGACTGTATTAAAAATACAAAAATTAGCTGGGTGCGGTGGTGGGTGCCTGTAATCCCAGCTACTTGGGAGGCTGAGGCAGCAGAATCACTGGAACCTGGGAGGACGAGGTTGCAGTGAGCTGAGATCTCACCATTGCACTCCAGCCTTTGCAACAAAAAAAAAAAAACAACAAAAAAAAAAAAAAAAAATTTTTTTTTTTTTTTTTTACAAAAGACTTTTAACATCTTACTAAATCTTTCCTAGAATACTCTAAGGTAGAGATTACTATCATTAATGTTTAATATGAGAAAAAATAGTCTGGAAAAGTTAGTTTGGCCACTGTCACCAGGCTTTTCTGTGTAAAGCTGGGATTCCTACTGTACTTTGTATTCCCTTTTATACATAATTTAGTAAAATATATTAATTGTCCTGCATATACTTCAAGTGCAACTTCTAAATATGATTTTAAGTGATAGCAGAACTTTAGGACCATTTAAAAATAGTATTTGGGGCTGGATGTGGTGGCTCACACCTGTAATTACAGCACTTTTGGAGGCTGAGGCGGATGGATCATTTGAGGTCAGGAGTTCAAGACCAGCCTGGCCAACATGGCGAAACCCTGTCTCTACTTAAACTACAAAAATTAGCCAGGCAGTAGTGGTGCATGCCTGTAATCCCAGTTACTCAGGAGGCTCAAACAGGAGAATCACTTGAACCTGGGAGGCAGAGGTTGCGGTGAGCCAAGATCGCTCCACTGCACTCCAGTCTGGGTGACAGAGTAAGAAGCTGTCCCTCCCTGCCCAAAAATATTATTTGGTTTTGTTATAAAATACAAATATATTATTGGAATGAACACTGTAGCTGTAAATGGCATTCAGGAGCCTAGTGGTAAGGTGAAATATACATAGACACAAAGATTCTGTAAAAAATAATAAATTTATGTATGGAACTGGGTGATTTTATATATACAGGATATTATGTACATATATACCAAAGGGTGAGGACCGTATGCTAAGTTTGGTAAGATAGGCACAAAAGGAAAAAAAGAAAACCTATAATTTCACTCATATGAGGCACCCAGATTAATCAAATCCACAGAGACAGAAAGTAGAGGGGTGAGTGCCAGAGGTGACCAGGAGCAGGGAATGGGGACATGTTAAATGGGTACAGAATTTCAGTTTTGCAAGATGAAAAGAGTTCTGGAGCTGGATGGTGGTGATGATCATGAAATAATATGAATGTACTTAAGACTACTGAACTGTACACTAAAAACGGTTAAAATGGTGAATTTTGTGTTACGTGCATGTTACTATAAATTGAAAAAGAGGAACACCAAGTATTTCCAACTACTTTGCAAATATAGATTTATCGTGCACTTGGTTTTTATAACATTCTTTTTGCTACTAATAGTGCATGTATCTTTTCAAAATTTAAAGTAAACTGACATTTTCAAGAATGCCTTTTGGACATTTCAAAGCCACATAGGGGCACCTTTCTTTTCCACTAAAAGGTTCAAAGGTTTTGCCTTGCTTGCAGATGGTGTAGAGATGAACAGCATAAACATGCTTTGTGTTAAGAACTGCAAAAAGCTTTGGGAAACTTATGCTGACACTTTTCAGGGCAAAATAACAGGCTCGTAAAATACAGGAATGGTAAGCCTGTAGCATCTCAATTAACACTTGAGGGATGAGCAGACATTCATGAGGTCTCCTGGGGGAGGGGGCACCCCAGGAAGATGCAACAGTCAGTGTGAAAGCACAGAGGAGATGGAGCCTGTCATGTCTGGGCACAGGGTAGGGGAGGAGGTCCTGCCGGTCACAGCCCAGACTATGAAGGGCTGTGAGTGTCCAGTGGAGCACCTGGGATTTCCTATGGCTGATGTGATGTAGGAGCAATGAAGCATTTCACCAGCTTGCACTTAACAAAGTCACTTTGACACCAGCAAGAGAGGCAGATTGCAGAGGAGGAGGAGGCTGTGAATAGGCACCAAGTGTGGAGTCAGTAGGACTTTCTGGCCTCCTTTGGATGTTAATAAGCGCCATCTAGTTATAAGTGAAAAGTCTTGAAAATAAAGACAACTGATGGGTAAGTAACAGTCAGGTAGTAGTCACTGGTAACATATTATTCCAGAACACACCCTCTTGTCCTCTACAGGAGAGGTTGTTAATATTTGAACAAAAATTCTTACCTAAGGTCTTGAAACGGGTCGGCTCTGACAAGGGGTGTCTCCACTGAATGTTCAAAAAGAGCCCCTTCAGGCCCTAAACAATAAACAAAGAGGTATCAGGAGCAGAAGTAAAATAGGTGGCACCAAACGAAACAAACATTTAGCCTAGATATTAAAGAACATAGAGATTTTGTTCTTTGTTGCAGAATTTTTGCAGATGTTTGAGTTACAGTGGAAAAATGGGCCCAACTGCTTCCTTACTTTTCTGAGGTTATCACAATTTCATTATGTTCCTATAAACAAAATATGGGTTTTTTTTTCCCAAAGAAATGACAAATTTGCAGGCTCATTTTAAAACTAGAAAGCAATGTTAGTCTTCAAGTCAAAAAAGAAAAAAACCCCTGAAATTTGCATACATCCATATATTTTAAGTAATAGTAATTTGACTAATTATCTAGATTTTATGTGTAAGAATAGTATCTTGTGCTATTTGTTTCTAAGGCACTCAAGGTATTTACAGAAAAAGTACAAGCTTTAAATATTTAAAATAGACCTTCTAATTCCCAGAAATCGGCATGTTCCTAGTTGTTTCATGAGTCTGAGAACCTAATTATATGCAAGGCCCTGTGTCAGTTGGGGTGCAGAAACACAGGTGAAAGTGACATGCTCTTTGATGTATCCTAACTTGTTTAATACTCAGACCCCTACAATGCAGGTAATATTTTCCCATTGTACCCATCAGGAGGCTGAGGAAGGGAAAGGATAATTAACTTGTCTAGGGTTCCACAGCTTGGAAGTGGCAAGGCTGTGATTTGAATTCAGAGCTCACATTTTCAATCTATATGCCATAGGCTTTCTCATACATAAATAACAAGATATCATAGAAAGTTACGTGCCAGAGCAACGTGCAGCCAAATTATTTGGAGGATCGTCAATGGGGACGAATTACTTTAAGGCACCAGGGATGACTATATAGGAAAACGAAGTGGATCTGAATCTTAAAATAAACGAACTTCTATGAGCATATGGAGATTGCGAGCAAGAATTTCAAAAAGAGCAGCAGTCCAGGGGCAGGAAAATGTGCTGAGTGCCCAGGAATAAACAAATAATCCAGTTCCCTGGAAGCAAAGAATTCTACGTTGAATACATATGTATCTTTCACATTATAATTTAAACCTATATCCTCTTGAATTTTATGGGCATATTCACAGATATAAGCAGCACCACATTGCTTATATATGCGCGTCATGATTTCCCCAGGTTGCTCATGCTTATCTTAGGCCCTGCCCTGCCTGGGGTTCCACCCCTGGCTCAGGCCCTACCCTGGGCTTAGAGGCTGTGGCTGCGCCCACTAAGAGTTCTTCTGTCTCTTGTGGTTCTACAGGAATCTCAGGAGTTGTCCTCACGCTGTGCACTTTCCTCTTTAGGAAATACACAGGGTCCCCGACTTGCCATGGCTTTACAGGGAGACAACCCATTGCAAGTTGGGGAGCTTCTATATTGAAATAGTTAAAATGTTTATTTTTTAATCAACCCTTGTAGTAATTTCAGTATTAGATACTGAAGAAACATTGCCTGAGTAAAAGTTCCCAGCCTCTGTGTTGAGAAATCCTTACCCTGGGCAAAAGGTCTTGTGAGCAACCGTTACTGATTTTTCTTTCTTTCTTTTTTTTTTTTGAGATGGAGTTTCGCTCTTGTTACCCAGGCTGGAGTGCAATGGCGCGATCTCGGCTCAGCGCAACCTCCGCCTCCCGGGTTCAAGCAATTCTCCTGCCTCAGCCTCCTGAGTAGCTGAGACTACCCATCACACAGACTCGGCTAGTTTTTTTGTACTTTTAGTAGAGGCAGGGTTTCACCATGTTGGCTAGGCTGGTTTGAAACTCCTGACCTCAGGTGATCGCCTCAGCCTCCTAAAGTGCTGGGATTATAAGTGTGAGCCACTGTGCCCCACCAGCCCTACAGTTCACAGTACCCCCACATTTTTTTCACAGTATTGCTTACAATATTATCTTTGTTATTATAATTACTACTTCCTTAGTAATTTTATTTAAATATGAAGATATGATAAAAACCCATACTGGAAAAAAGCCCTTGTCCAAGAAATAATAGCTTGTGGCACAAAAGCAAAACAGATTTAAATCAGAACAAAGAGAAATTTTAAAATTACAAACAGATTTAGTAGGATGATTTACATAAAAACTATAATCAACTGAAATAAAAGAACACACATAAGTGATGGTTAAAGTCTCATGAAATTTATATTATAATTTATGTAAATTATATTCAGATGAGAAACATCCTCATACATGCTATAACAAGTCACATCTTAAAATACCACTGAAGCAAACCTAAATGATAATGGGAACCATTATGTAAAGTAAGGCTATACTAAGCCCTGGAGTTCCCACAACAAACGGTGCCAAATTTTATAGTACAATATCTGGTTTGCCTGAAGTGTAGACATTTCCTGTTTGGCATAGAGAGGAAAATCATTTAACATAGTAATTTGTATAATAATGTGTATTCATTTTATCCTTTTCTTCCTCCTCACTTCTTCTGATTTGCAAAATAAAATGTAAGGAAAAATATACCTCAAGTCCATTCTCAAGAAGACACCCAGAGCTATGCTTAGTTTTATATAAGTATATTTATTGTGGTTATGTAGCACTGTTTGAAACCCAAGTAATGCTTTGTTATCGGGAACCTAGAGTGGGCTTGATGAATCATCAAAAGATAATGATTTCTTTCCATAACTAAGATATAGAAATAAAAGGAATGTAGGCATAAAGTTTTCTGCAATTGTTTTCTCTATTTTTACATAAACAAGATGGTATGACTGAGAAAAAAGTCAACACGTTTTACTTTCTGTAACGCATACCCTTGGTAAAACAAAGCTGGAAACTGCAATGTATTCCATTTCCATAGGCAATTTTTATTATAGCACAATGTTGGGTCAAAATAAATACAGAGATAAATATCTACATGACATGACTTTTGGGGTACTCACAGAATTGCAATTTGGGGCATATCTCTAAAGAACAAAGAGAAAAGTTGGGGGTTTTATTAGAAAGAGAAATGTGGGCACGTGTGGTGGCTCACACCTGCAATCCCAGTACTTTGGGAGGCCAAGGTGGGCGGATCACCTGAGGCCAGGAGTTCGAGACCAGCCTGGCCAACATGGTAAAACCCTTTCTCTACTAAAACTAGAAAAATTAGTCAGGCATGGTGGCGCACGCCTGTAATCCCAGCTATTTGGGAAGCTGAGGCATGAGAATCATTTGAACCTGGGAGGCGGAGGTTGCAGTGAGCCAAGATCACACCACTGCACTCCAGTCCAGCCTGGGCAACAAAGTGAGGCTCTATCTCAAAAAAAAAAAAGAAAGAAATGTTGTCTATTGTTTTGAAAGAAGGCTCATGGCACTAGAGAAGCTTTTGGGAGCTGGCAAGCTCTGACTGGTGAGCAAGTGCAGCAGGCAGAACTCTTCCTGGTGTCACGGCAGGTTGTTTCAGCAGTTACTAGGTAACACTGGTCTTAGGGTGACAGCAGGCCATTTCAGCAGCTGGCTTGAGGAAAATACAATTTTTGAAAAAGGTGCTAAGTGCCCTGAGTGCTTTTTCCCCCCGGCCCCTCTATTTACTTGGGTATGACAAAATGACCCAATTCATATAATCAACTTTCACAGCAGCTTCAATTCTTTTTCCTCAATCACTGAATTTATTCAAAGAGTTTCAGTGGCACCATTTTACAGGGCAGTAAAACTCAGTAATTAGTTTTTAAATGCATGCCAATTACTTCCCTTCTAACGTAACTATAATTAGTGATATTGTATTGACATATGATTATGGTAATGTACTTATAGGGAGATATAAAATCTATAAACTGATGTGTATATTCATCTTTAAATAAGGACACAAGTTTCTCTACATTGAAATGATAAATACCCAAATTATATGATCTTGATTATATCATTACTATTCAGCCTCAAAGTTAAATACTCCTCAGAACTTATTTGCATATAATAAAATACATTTTTCTAACTGGTTTCATAAAATCATTCTCAGTAAATTGTTGTTGATCTTCAATTTAATTTCATTTTCTTTATGTTTGCATTCATTTACATATGAACAGCCAAGATGATATAAGAAATGCAATTGCTGTAATACCTCTTCTTTGTGAAAAATAAAACATTATTTGAAGTTATATAATCCAAAATTTTAGACAGGAAATAAAGTTCTACTATAAAATATCATTATATAAATCATGAATTAAAATGACCCTATATAATATGCATTATTTATACAGTAAAGTATAAATAAAAAAGGAAAATAAAAGAAAGCCCAGTGTAATAATGTTAATTTTTTTGTTTTTAGAATATGTCATTGAGATTAGAAATGGTAAATGGCTTGGCCATTTGTACTGCAAAGCAGTAGTACTCAAACAACGCCATTCTTTTCTTCTGGATCCTAGAGCATTATATGATGAATGATGCTCACGTGAAGATCTGTGGTAAGACTATTGTGCAAGACAGATGGAGACAGTCATGAAGGCAGTTGAAAAGTTCACGGCATAGAGCCCAGCAGTCATGGTGCTCTTGGACAGAGCTCAGCAACCGAATGGCAAATTACTCTAAGTTGCTCCATTCCTTCCAACATACTGCTGTTTCTAGGTTCCTTCAGTTATAGAAATACATAGAATTCAATATTAATACTTCTGTTCCCACAGTAACATATATCTCAGACATGCATTGGATTTTTGTATCGACACTGTAACTATTTGCTAAGATTCATTCTACGCATTCATCAAGCATTTATGGACTGATAAGGGCTTTTCAAGTGATGCCAAAAAAAATTCCATTTCTCTTGTTCAGCCAAACTTCTGCTTAATGTCCCCACAGAATTCCTCTACTGCCTCCCGTCCTGTTCACTCTTTAACTACGTCAGCCTGCCTTTTGCCTTTATTACTCCAATGAAAAATGCATGCCTTAAGATAGCAATAAATCCAGTGACAATTTCTGTCATCTCTCCTGGGTCCAAATTCTGAGAAAATAGTCTCTCTTGACACCTGAAAAAGGGTTATTGTGAAATTTCTCCCAC